AGCAGCAGAAAACAAGCTTGTTCCCTCCTCGATATGACATGCTAGATTGAAAGCAGAAGGAAAAAAAGGGAGACCCCAGTACAGGTGGAGTGACTCAGTTAATGATGTCCTCAGTTTGCAAGACCTGAGCAGGGTGGTTGATGCCAGTGACTTGGAGGTCTCTCCTCCATAGGCTCACCATCCTTCACAGTCGATGGCAACTGACAACAAGAACAGGAGCTGAAATCCTACATCAAGTTTGTGTGTTGTGTAAATTGACACTTATGCATGTCCATGCTGGATCACACGTCTGGTGAATGCCATCATTGTGCAACCAAGAATATGCCTGCCCATGTGCCTGCTTCGCTTCCCTTTGTGCATTGGAGAATAATGCACATGGGACCATTTCTGCAGCCCCAGGGAATCAAGTGGTGTGCTGAAGGCAACCTTGTCATGGAGTTTTCTTGGCAAGATTTGTTCAGAGGAGGTTTGCCATTGCCTTCCCCTGAGGCTGAGAAAGTGTGACTTTTTCCCAAGGTCATCCAATGGGTTTTATGGCTAGGCTGGGAATTGAACCCTGGTTTCCAGGATAGATATCCTGGCCTCAGGAATCCATCTTAGGAGGGTCCACTAGAAGTCTTCTCCCGAGCCATAAAAACGACATCGCCAGCTTCCCATTTTGTTGTACTAATGGTTTATCCTTGTTTGGTTTTAATCTGTATTGGTTTAATACTGTTTTAAAGGGGGGAGGCTATAGGGGTTGATTGTATTGGTAATTTAACATGTTGTTAGCTGCCTCGATTGCTCTCAGAGAGGCGGGGTAAAAATAAATTATTATTATTATTATTATTATTGTCCACCACTCAAACCATTTCACCATGCTGGCTGTGAGCAACATCACAATTTGTGAAGTTGTATGGCATCCATAGTTTTTGCGGGTTTTTCGGGCTGTGTGGCCATGTTCTAGAAGAGTTTCTTTCCGACGTTTCGCCAGCATCTGTGGCTGGCATCTTCAGAAAATATATACCCACTCTCTTCCATTCCAGCATTCTCTGAAGATGCCAGCCGCACATGCTGGCAAAACGTCAGAAAGAAACTCTTCTAGAACATGGCCACACAGTCCAAAAAACCCACAAAAACAACATCACAATTCATCAATGATTGCACAATTGGCATGTAACTCATGGCACAACAAGGTTACGCTCTGTCTTCGCAAGATAGGACTTCAGCCACTATTTTTCAATGCAACGATTTTATTCATTCCACCCAGGTTTTTCATACACAGAAGTCCTAAATTCTGTGGAAAAAATAATTCCGTGATAGTGGACCATTTTCTTGATATTTTGAGGCACCCTTTCTCAACAAGAACCAGAAAATGTTGTGCATCTTCTTCGCATCCCTTGCGCAGGGAGTAAGAATGCAAGCTCTCAGTAGTACTTTGGTCTTTGTTGCTGTGTGCCTTGAAGTTGTTTCCGACTTATGGCAACCCTAAGGAGAAGCTATCATGGGGTTTTCTTGGTAAGATTTGTCCAGAGGAGGCTTATCATTGCCTTCCCCTGAGGCTGAGAGGGTGTGACTATCCCAGTGGGTTGCATGCCAATTATCTTTATAAATGGATAAGCATCTTGGGCTGTTGTTGTTTGCCTTCATTCAGGTTGTTTCTGACTAATAGTGACTCTTGGAATAACAGCAAACCTATCATGGGGTTTTCTTGGTTCAGAGAGGGGTTGCCATTGCCCTTCTCTGAGACTGAGGGCCAAAGGCACCCAGTGGGTTTCCCTGGCCGAGCCAGGATTCGAACCTTGGTCTCCAGAGTTGCAGTTCAATACTCAAACCACTACACCAGTCTGGCTTGCTTTGGTCTTGGGCAGAATTTAGGAGTCTTGGGATGGAGGGCATTTGAGACAACAGCTTGCCAACTTGTCCATGGCTCCAAAGGCATCTCCATCCACGGTGGCAAAAGAAGGAAGGCCTGGCTGTATTCTACAGTGCATGTGTCTCCAGTGTTTTTAAGCGACTGGAGATACGGCCCTGTTGGAATAACAGCCAGAGCCAAGAGCGACTGAGGTTGCCACCCAAAGGACGTACATCTCGGGTATTGGCACGAATGAGACCGCATGCAGAAAGGGAGACGTCTCTGCAAGTCTGCATCAAATGCAAGCAAAGGAACAGCCCATAGGACTTGGTGGCTTCCAAACCTTCCACCATTTTGGTTGTCTTCCTTTGGACACACTCCAGCTTGTCCACAACCTTTTTGAATTGTGGTGCTCCGAAATGGGCACAGTATTCCAGGTGAGACCTGACCGAACCAGAATAGTGTGGCACTATTACTTCCCTTGATCTAGACACTAATCTCTTGATGCAGAGGTCTGGCAAGTTACTTTTTTGAACAACCTGGGGGATTCTGGGCATTGTCATCCAAACATGTAACTTGTCCGAGTGTTTCCTCTTTTTACAATTCCAGTCATCATTCCTGGCGTCTTGGACCCCATCCTGGGTTAAAAGCAGCATATAAATAAAATAATTAGGTAAATAAATAAATAATAAAATAAACCATGAATAGGAAGTGCTGTTATGCTCAGTTCCTTAAACATGAAAACAAACTTCCTGGTGAAAAGAGCTGTCAATGAGATGGACTTTCTGGGGAAATGGAGGAAGAAGGTTCCTGGCAGGTTTTTAAGCAAAGGTTGGATGGCCACCTGTCAGGGATTCGGTGGTTACAGATTTTCTGCAGTGGCCAGGGTTTGACTAGATGACCCTTGGGTTCCCTTTCAACTTTATGATTCAATGATGCTGTGATGGTAAGAGCTGTTTGACAGTGGAAGATGCTGCTTTGGAGAGTGATGGAGTCGCCTTCTTTGGAGGTTTTGAAATGGAAGTTGGATGGCCATCTGTCGGGAGGGTTTTAATTGTGCATGGCAAAATGGGATTGGACTGGATAGCTCTGTTACCTGAATGGTAGCAGCTCTTACTGTCAGGAAGTTCCTCCTAATGTTGAGCTGGAATCTCTTTTCTTGTAGCTTGAACCCATTGCTCTGGTTCCTATTCTCTGGAGCAGCAGAAAACAAGCTCGCTCCATCCTCAATATGACGCCTCTTCAATTACTTAAACAGGGCTATCATAGTCACAGCCTTCTCTTCTCCAGGCTTAATCTGCCCAGTTTGCTAAGCCACTCCTCATAGGGCTCAGTGGTTTCCAGACCTTCCACCATTTTGGTTATCTTCCTCTGGACACGCTACAGTTTTCCCACAACCTTTTTGAATTGTGGTGCTCAGAAATGGACACAATATTCCTGGTGGGACCTGACCAAACCACAGTAGTGTGGCACTATTACTTCCCTTGATCTAGACCAGGGGTAGGCAACCTTTCCCCTTTAAGAGCCGAGGGACTTCAGCTCCCAGAATCCCAGGAGCTATTGGCCAACATGGGACTATTGGCCAACATGGCTGAGGCTTCTGGGAGCTGAAGTCCCTTGGCCCTTAAAGGGGAAAGGTTGCCTACCCCTGATCTAGACACTATACTTCTATTGATGCATTCTAGAATCACATTGGCCTTTTAAGCTGCTGCATCACACTGTTGGCTCATATTCACCTTATGGTCTATTTACTAGGACTCCTAGGTCCCTTATACATGGCATTTTGTTAAGCCAGGTGTCCCCCATCCTATATCTATGCATTTTATTTTTTCTTCCTAAGTGCAGTACCTTATATTTCTCTGTGTTGAAATTCATTTTGTTAGTTTTGGCCCAGCATTTTAATCCCTTCAGGTCATTTTGAATTTGCGTCCTCTCCTCTGGGGGATGAGTTACTCCTCCTAATTTTCAAATTCATCTGCGGATGTCCATTGCACAATAGCTAAAAAGATACAACCACATGCGGAAGGGAACTTCCGCAGGAGTTTGACACCCACCGGAGACACCAACATTTGCATTTCTTAGCAAAACAACACTGCTTTTTGGGAGCGTTGTTTGCTTCCTCCTCTTGAATGAGGCATAAGATATTTAGAGACATGGAACATTGTAAAAAATAATAATAATAATTTCCAGATATATATGAAGAACATAAGAGACTAGAGCTTGCAGATGAATTATTGGGCTATCAAGTATATTTATTCCTCCATTAAAAACTTGGAGGCGATATGATCTGATGGCTCTTTTGGGGAGCCCTTAGTTTCATGGCACTCTCTCCGAACCACGTGTTTTGGGACCTGTGTGCCAATGCTGACCTCTGTAAGCCATGAAGCTTTCCCTTGCATTTATGGCCAGTCTCTTTTATGTTTCAATAAACTACACATGATTTTTGCTCGGCCCCTTCTGAGCTCCCTTTATGTACAGCTGTGAAGGACTGCAACAAATGAAAGCAAAGGAACAGCTTGGCTGGGAGGAGATCTCTTGGTGCAGAGGTCTGGCAAGTTACTTTTTTTTTAACAAACTGGGGGCTTCTGGGAATTGTCATCCGAAAGAGTAACTTGTCCAAGCTCTGGCTGTTCCCTGTCTTTACAGTTCCAGGCACCATTCCAAGGGCTGGGAACCATGAATAGGAAAGTGCTGCTATGCTCAGATCATTAAAAATAAGAAAGACCTTCTGTTTGACAGTAGAAAGCACTCCCTTGGAAACTAAAGGAAAAACCTTCATGCCAGGTTTTTAAGCAAAGTGGGACAAACACCTGTCAGGGATGCCATAGTCATGGATTTCCTGTGGTGGCAGGGGTTAGAATAGAGGACGCTTGGGGGTCCCTTTGAACTCTATGATTCTGTGATGCTATGGTGGTACGAGCCATTCGACAATGGAAGATGCTGCCTGGGTGTGTGGTGGGGTCTCTTTTTTTGGAGGTTTTTAAACAGAAGATGGATGGCCATCTATCCCAGGGAGGGCTTTGATGGTATCTTCTTGCATAGTAGAAGGGGGCTGGACTGGATGGCCTTTGGGGGTCCCTTCCAACTCTAGTATTCAATTGTCTCTTTTGCGCAGTTCAGGAGTGCTTTAGCTGCTTCTTCCTGCATGGTAGGAGGCTGAACTAGATGGCCCTTGGGGTCCCTTCCAGCTCTTTGATTCTGTGATTTTATTTTAATGGTATTTTCTTTTAATTCTACACTATAAGAGTCCACACATCTCATATTGTGAGAAAAGCATGATATAATTAAGCAGAGGCTGGATGGCCATCTGTCGGGGATGCTTTGATTGGAAGTTCCTGCATGGCAGGGGGTTGGACTGGATGGCCCTTGTGGTCTCTTCCAACTCTATGATTCTATGATTCTATAATTTTTCTTAGTTAATCACTCATTTAATAATTGAATAAAAGGTTTGCTCTTCTGTTTTGTGGCATAGGAATCTCTCTTCATTCTTTCCATTGCATCTGAGGAAATAGACCGAAGTCTAGGAAAGCTCATGCTGCCAATTTCTTTCTTTCAGTTAGTCTCAAAGGTGCGACAAGATCGCTCCGTGTTCCATTCATTCCATGTTATTGCTGTCCTGGTACGAAATTTTCATAAAACCATAGCATCCTGGAATTGAAAGAGACCTCCAAGGGTCATCCAGTCCAACCTCTTGACATGCAGGAAGATACAATCCAAGCCCTATCTGTGACAGATGACCATCCATCTTCTGTTTTAAGACCTCCAAAGAAGGAAACTCCACCACTTTCCAAGGCAGTGTCTTCCACTGTGGAACAGCTCTTACCTTCAGGAAGTTCTTCCTAAGGTTTAGGTGGAATCTCTTTTCCTAGAGTTTGCATCCATTGCTCTGGTCCTTTTCTCTGGAGCAGCAGAAAACAAGCTTGCTCCATCCTCAACATGACATCCCTTCAAATATTTAAGCAGGGCTATCATGTCTCATCTTAACCACACACATACACACAGCCTAGGCTGAACATCTCCAACTCACTCCTCAGAGGACTTGGTAGTTTCCCGTCCCTTCTCCATTTTGGTTGCCCTTCTCTGACCACTCTCCAGCTTCTCAACATCCTTCTGGGTGACCAAGTCACACTTTCTCAGCCTCAGAAGAAAGCAGGGGCAGAACTCCTCTGAAGAAATATGGACATTGTTGAACCAGAGTGGTGCCATGGTCTGAGTCCTGGGCTACAACTCTGGGTTCGAATCCCTACTCTGCCATGTAAATCCACGGGGAGGCCTGGGGCAAGTTATATTCCTCCAGTCTTAACAATAGCACCCCTCTTCAGAATAAATATGGCCAAGAAAGCCCTAGGGCAGGGGCCTCCATAACAAGGGACATAACAGCAGCATCACTGGCAGCATGCTGCCCATTGTTTCCAGGGGCTGGAAATCCAGATTAAAGAGTTGTCCCAGAGTCCCCAAAATGCTTCTAGTGTCCGAAGCATCCAAAAGGGTGGAAAGATTATGAACAGAGCTTAAAAAGCATTTTTTTTTAAATGGGAGATGTGCATTGCTCTTTAAAATGCAAGTAAACATTTACTTGACACCAGTGTTTTGGACTTTCCTTTCTGTCCCGTGCCATCTCTCCTTAATTCCTTGAGTTGTTCCCTTTCCCTGCTCTGTACATGCACTGGACTATGACTTTGGAGAATGGGTTCAAATCCTGGCTTGGCCATGTAAACCCACTGGGTGATCCTGGGCAAGTCACACTCTCTCAGCCTCAGAGCATGGCAATGGCAACCCACCCCCCTCTGAAGAAACTTGCCAAGAAAATCCCATGATAGGTTCGGAAATGACTTGAAGGCAGCCGACAAGAGCAACATCCTCGCTTGCATCAGCCCCCGTTCTGCTCCTTTTTCTTTTATTCCTTCTTCTGTGCTTTTTTCCTTGGAGCAGAGGAGCTATAACCCAGACTGGGTTCATTATTTGTCTGTGCTGCAAGAGCTGAGCTGCATCAACCT